TATAAAGCTATTTCCCAGCACCCTCAAGAAAAGCCTTACTCTCTAAATATTCTTTAAAGTCTCTGGTAATAGAAAATTAGTTAATTTTACCTGTTCAGCCAGTTGACACAAATCCAAGATTGAGTAATAAAGCACGTATGTCAGAGGCATTTGAACCAGAGCACTTCCACCTTGAACTGGGGCTGGGTAAAATAAGGCTGAGACCTGTTGGGCTGCATTTCCAGAAGGCTAGGCATTCTTATGACAGAATGAGATAGGACGTTGGCAGGATTGGTATCACAAGATACAGGTCAAAGATCCTGCCGATAAAACAGGATGCAGTAAAGAAGATGGCCAAAACCCAACAAATCCAAGATGGTGATGAAAAAGTGACCTCTGGTCACCCTCACTGGTCATTATATGTGAATTATAATGCATTAGCATGCCAAAAGACACTTCTACCAGGACCATGACAGTTTACAGGTGCCATGGCAACATCTGGAAGTTACCCTATATGGTCTGAAAAGGGAAGGACCCTCAGTTCTGGGAACTGCCTGCCCCTTCCCCAGAAAGCTCATAAATAATTCACTCCTTGTTTAACATATAATCAAAAATCAACTGTACGTCTACTCAAGTCGAGCAGCCCATGCCACTGCTCTGCCTCTGGAGTAGCCATTCTTTGGTTTCTTTACTTCTCTAACAAACTTGCTTTCACTTTACGGACTTGCCCTGAATCCTTTCTTGCACGAGGTCCAAGAATCCTCTCTTGGGGTCTAGATTAGGACCCCTTTCCAGTAACAGATAGTCTCATCAATAAACAATGTAGATAGATATAAACAGAAGAGGCTCAAATGAAAGCTCTCTTGGCCTTCATTATGAAGTAAGAAAACAAGGATGAATGGGGACCCCACCAAATTCATGACAAGGTAGGGAGGGTCTGTTCTTTCTTTCCCCCACCTACTTACCTATCACCTACCTACCAACCTACCTCTTGTATACGCAGGTCAAGCACATCTAGAGGCCAGCAGCCCCACTTGGCAGGGGCATCTATAATAGATGCTGAGATGCCAGGTATGTCGAAAATCTCACTGCTTGTCTCTCTCCCTCCCCACCTTCTGGGTCAGAGCTAACTTCCTGTAACTTGAGACTTTAAACCCTGTTAAATGCTAAATACTGCCGAGAAAAGTGATGTTATTTTTCAGAAACAGACATTTGAAGCATAATTAAGGCCAGATATCTCCCTTGGAATAGGTTTTAGCTGGGCGAGGAGGAGGGAGGCGCGCGCACTGGGGGTGCCTGAGACAAGTTGGGAGACTGGATCTGCGAGGCAGGAGTCGCAGGAGCAGTGCTCAGCTTCCACACTGCCTCCTTCTCTGCATTTCTGCTTCTAAGGGTGGGCCCCTGCAGGTCTTGCCCACATGTGTTTTCTAAGTTCTCTTGTTTTTGTAATAAAAAGCAGAGAAAACTTCTGCCCATAGAATACCACTCTGACGCAGAATGATATTTTGGTTGGCAGAGACTTTTGCAGACACCAACCAGACACAGCCAACTGGTTCGCCAGGTCACCCTTTGAGGCTCCCACACTCAACGGCAAGGCTCCCAGCAAGCATTTGGATGTAAGGGAATAGTGAGATTGTCTATTTGCATCTTCAAATACAATTAATAAATTATTCAATAGAGACAAGGCATCGAACCTACTCAAAATATAATCTGACCTAAGATTTTCAGAGTGATATATCTTTAAAGGCAAATGAAATTTAAACACAAAATCTCTTGGGAGATTTTACACAAAATAATCATCAATACAAGAATAAGTATCACCCTTTTGCAACCATCACAGCAACACTGATTCAGGCAAGAATCATGGAAAGAATCTAAAACCATTAGGTAAAAGTTTGATGATGATAGTTTCACGGTCTCAGATTATCACCTCACAATATATACATATAAATTCACTACAAAGAAGACATCGTAACTTCTCAAAGAAAACCTGGCAGATACCACCTTAACTGAATGACCGAAATTAATATCACTAATAATGAAACAAACAGACATCACGGGCCCCCTGATGTAATGCACTGTGGAGCAAAAAAAATCAAAAAACAAAACCAAATAAATGCTAAACAAACACTTCACCAAACAACTAGCTTACACTCTGAAAAATGTCTTTATTGTCAAAGACAAAAGAAGGCTAAGAAACCCTTTCAGATTAAATGTGACAAAAGACATGACACCAACATGCCGTGAGTGATTTTTTTTTTTTTTCCTAAAAAGTGCTGGATTGGAAAAACAGTGCTATAAGAGACATTATTGCGACGATTAGAAAAACAAATAGGGCTAGGCACAGTGGCTCATCCCTGTAATCCCAGCACTCTGAGAGGCCAGGCGGGCAGGCCATTTGAGGTCAGGAGTTCGAGACCAGTCTGACCAACATGGTGAAACACCTTCTCTACTAAAATACAAAAAAAAAAATTAGCCAGGTGTGGTGGCGGCTGCTTGTAATCTCAGCTACTCAAAGAGGCTGAGGCAGAATAGCTTGAACCCAAGAGGTGGAGGTTGCAGTGAGCCGAGATGACGCCAGTGCACTCCAGCCTGGGTGACACAGCGATACTCCCTCTCAAAAAACAAAAAACAAAAAAAAAAAAGAAAAGAAAAAGAAAAACTTGAATAGAAACTGTATATTAGAAAAAGTTATTAAGTTTCCTGTATTTGGTCATTATACTATATTATTCTGTAACAGAATGTTGTCCTTAGGAAATATTTGCTTAAGCATTTAGGGGTGACAGTCGTGATGTCTACCATTTATTCTCAAACAGGCCAGCAGTAATAATAATTAGTGGTGGTGGTGGTGGTGTGTGTGTGTGTGTGTGTGCGCGTGAGAGAGAGAGAGAGAGAGAGAGAAAGCTCAGGAGTGTGCAAATGTCAACAACTGGTGGCCTACGTGAAGATTACATGAACATTCACTGCACAATTCTCAATCCTTGAAACTTTACTGTAAGTTTAAATTTATTTTATTACTTTTTTCTTTTGAGATAGGGTCTTGTTCTGTCACCCAAGCATGATCACAGCTCACTGCAAACTTAACTTCCTGGGCTCAGGGGACCCACCTGCCTCAGCCTCCCAAGTAGCTGGGACTACAGGTGGGCACCACCACACCTGGCTAATTTTGGGGGGCTGGGGGCAGGGGCATGGTGTGGATCAGAGACGGTCTTACTATGTTGGCCAGGCTGATCTCAAACTCCTGGCCTCAAGTGATCCTCCCACTTCAGCCTCCCAAAGTGCTGGAATTACAGGCCTGAGCCACTGCACCCAGCCATAAACATTTTTAAAAGACAGTGTTTTTAAGTTAAAAGCAAAGGGTAGCATAGTTTTCAAAAGCCATTAACAGAGAAATAAAGGACAAAATGTTTTTAAACTTTCAAATTGTTTAGAAGCACATTAAGTTTGAACCACTTAAAATTACAGAGGCAAGATGACAATATTACAAAAGAGGACAGTGGGTGTGTGTTTGAATTTTTTCGTTAACCTCAGAGGAGGCCATCAGTCTCTCTCGGCCCCAAGAGCCATGCCACATTTTACTAAGTAAAGGATATAAACACGGAAAGAATGACTCTCCACAATTGAGGGGAAGAAGTACTACCCAGCCTAACTAAGGTTAGTACAAATTTGGTGAGTCACTTCCTCTTAGGAGGAAGAGCAAACATTTCTTGTTTCCTGAAGGATTCAGAGATTCTGAGGGAACACCTGAGCTCTCAGCCTGAATCATGCTACATAAGTAATAAACTAGGGCAGGAAAAGCTACGGCCCATTCACTCGATGCTTCTACCCCTACCACAGTACCTCCAAGTTCAAAGTCAATGTCAACTTGAGTCTTTTTTGTCTATTTCAGCCTCCACATTGCCAGGTTCCTGGGAAGAGGCAAGGTAAGCAAAACAAAAAAAAGTTGATGGATGTGCACAGTTATCCTCGCACCGTGAGTGGGCAGTGGCCTTGGTTTGCTGTGGGACATCACCCGCAACGTTCCTCAGTCCAGAACCAAACCCACAAAGCCTCTTAAGTTTAGAATTATAGCTTTCTGGCAAAGCAGCCCTCCTCCCTGAACTGCCTGTGCCAGCAGCACACACACGTGGATGGATTAGGCAAAGCTGTGCTCTAAAGCACACACACGCTCTCCCCAACGTGTGCTTTGCATTCCAGAAATACTTGATGCCTAAACCACTTCTATGCCTCCCTTGGCATGAACGTACAAGTGGCTCCATGCCAAAGGAAGCGTCTGTTTAGAGATGCGGACTTTCTTTAAATTTAACACGGAAGATCACAAATAGAACATTCTAGCATAATGATGATGCAATAAAGTAGAAAAGGAAAAGGTTTTAGAAAAAAGATTCTCTTTGTTTTTTTGTCTTATTTATGTTGCCTAAAAGAAATACTGAAAACATAACATGAAACATAAAATTAGCTTCTATGAAAGCAGAAATTACAGGGCCCAAGTTGGGTCAAGGAAGCAAAAACATTTCCTTTAACAGGAAAGGCTAGGGATCATTTGCCATTTTTTTACACACACGTTCATTGCTGTTTTAAGGTCACCTACCAAAATGAGGTGCAGAAGATGGGTTTTTAATCATTGGTTTATTCTGGAACATAGTACATTTTATTTTTGTATCTTGCTTCTTGATAACTTTTATCCTATATTAAAAATTAATGTAAAAGATGAAAATCCATCTTGGTTAATGCACCTATCCTTTCCCTTTCTCTTTTATTTCCGGAGATTTATTTAGGGTGTATTCACAATAGGCAGTGTAAAATCAGTAACTCTTCACAAAATCCTTAGACATCACCAACTGCATTACAAAACACATTCTTAGCCACCTAGATACATACACATGCATGCAACATGTTAAGGAAAATGACATCCAAGTCCATAGTACATACGCACACGATCGCCTGTTTGATTTCCGTCAGCATGGACCTAAAAGACACCTTCTTGGAAAGTGATCCTGGGCAGAGGGAGAAAGACTTACTTTCTTTCCACTTCTGGTGTTGACACGGCGCTACAGAAGCCAAGCGACTCCTATGAGAGAAGATTCGTATAGTCAGTGTGGTCAGAGCAGCAGGCTTCATCTGATTTGTACAGAGTGTCACTTAAAAAAAAAAAAAAAAGGCAGAAGCAAAACTAGATGATTAAAGTCATTGTGCTTACTTCGATCTGGGACCGCAGCTGAAGTGACGTGGGGCTAGCGTCGGGTTTCTCCTAAAACAGAACAGATGCCGGTTTAACGGGACTTCCAAACATGTGACACACGAGAAAGACAAATAGACATGTAAGAAGAGAGGGGAGGATTCGGGAAAGGTTAGGGTATAGAGTGGGAGGAGATGGCAGAGATAAGAAGATTTTCTGGGAAAACTAAATACTTTTAAAATGAGAGCTCTGGCCCCCTAAGATTGAACTATTTTCCAAACTTTGCTGCCAGACTCTGCTGACAATTTCATTGCAGAAGAAAAAAAAAAGCACAATTTCAGTCAAGGGGACTGATAGTTCATGGTGAAATAATTCTGTGGATATACTTAGTTGGTCACTAGGACACTGAATTTACTGCCACCCATTTGAGTTTAGCTGTTTTCTAAAGACACTAGAGTTCCAACCCAATTTTTTTTTTTTTTGAGACGGAGTCTAGCTCTGTCACCAGGCTGGACGCTGGAGTGCAGTGGCGCGACCTCAGCTCACTGCAACCTCCGCCTTCTGGGTTCGAACAATTCTCCTGCCTTAGCTTCCCGAGTAGCTGGGATTACAGGCAGGCGTCACCATGCTCAGCTCATTTTTGTATTTTTAGTAGAGACGGGATTTCACCACGTTAGCCAGGATGGTCTCGATCTCTTGACCTTGTGATCTGCCCGCCTCGGCTTCCCAAAGTGCTGGGATTACAGGCATGAGCCACCGCACCCAGCCCCAATCCAATTTTAAAGTTCTAAACGTATTCAGAGTACTTAGTAGCTTAGGAGAAGTTGTTAATGTCTTTAGGAAGTTGGGAAGCTAACTGAATGTTATCTTGCAGCCTTAAAAATCACTATACTTCCCTAACACAAATGAACTGACCTATCTGGAAATTTAAAAACAAACACTCTTGGTATTGATTTGATAAATGAAATATAAATACTTGATATTAAGATGCACTGAGGCTGGCACAGTGACTCACGCCTGTAATCCCAACACTTTGGGAGGCTGAGGTAGGTGGATCACGAGGTCAGGAGATCGAGACCATTCTGGTCAACATGGTGAAACCCCGTCTCTACTAAAAATACAAAAAAAAAAAAAAAAATCAGCCAGGTGTGGTGGCATGTGCCTGTAGTCCCAGCTACTCGGGAGGCTGAGACAGAAGAATGGCGTGAACCCAGGAGGCAGAGCTTGCAGTGAGCACAGATCGCTCCACTGCACTCCAGCCTGGGTAACAGAAAGAGACTCTGTCTCAAAAAAAAAAAAAAAAAAAAGAATATCATTAAATCGTGAGAGGCAGAAGAATCAAAGAATATTATAGATAAAACCATATACTATAATGCCCTCATTTCATAGTTCAAGGAGGCTGCATCTCCTTTGAAAGTAAGATAATGAAGAGAGATAAATTACCTGCGATAAAACTAATTATACAAATTATGCATTTTCACATGCATCTAATTGTTCAATTGTCCTTTTCACCATTAACACAATTATAAAACAACACCAATACTGAAAAACTTTTGTTGAAGTATAAAAGTAGCAATAAAGTATGAAAATAAGTATAACTCAGAGCAAAGTTATACTTTTAAACAAGGAACAGGAATCCAGTATGAATATAGAGTATCAAAATGAATGCGCTTTCATGCAGGATTGTGGAGGAGTGTTCCGGGAATCTGTTGCTCAACAACGTGCATGTGGCTGATAATACTGCACTGTACACTTGGGGAAACTGTTGGGAGTGTGAATTTTACGTTATGTGGGTTCTTTTTTTTGTTTGTTTTGTTTTGCTTTTTTGCCACAATGAAAAAAAAAGAAAGAATGTGCTGGGATGAGTACATCTGAGAATGGGATGATTGTTGACAAGCAGCCAGAAAGAGAAATGGGATTTAATGGACAAGAATTTAATGAACTGGCAACTCACTCATCCCCTAATCTCAGGCCCTTGTTTGTTATAAAAAGATATCACAGTGGAGTAAAAGCTCCACAGAACTCTCATTAACATCCTCCTGGTTTTTACTGCCACTGTTGTTCATAACAGACATATTTCTGTACCAAATTTGATACACCATTCTACCAAAAAGTATATGGACAATATTCCAAGTGTGAATGGTAGGATGTCAGGCTCAGACACCGTTAACAAAGGGGATACATACTTTTGTACATTTCTGGTGCTTACACACCAACCACAATTTCCCAGGACCTAACCTTTCAGTCTCACATAGAGAAATTTACAAATTTAAACAGCAGGAGGTAAGCAAAAGTATCATCAGTGATTTTTTAATCCCAAATCTTCCTTTCTATTCAGGAGTTGGTACAAAGAACTCAGAGTGATGATGAAACAAAACTGTTAGTTCCTCTGAAATTTTCTCTGAAATTGCCCCTTTAACACCCAATTGCAGCCAATGACCTTCTAAAACCACCAGCAAAAGTGACTGGTTCAGTTCACCTCCACTCCTCCATTTTTACCTTTTCTTCAAGCTGTTCATTTCTACCTCACTAGTAATAGTCATGCTAGGAAACGATCTTCTTTTGTTATAACCATTTATCTGCATTTTTTGAATAGATTTTATTTGCTAAGTGCATCATTTGCCATGTCATATCACAAATGTAACGTATATGGTGTGTACGTATGTTGTGGTATGTATGTTACAAATGTAACATATATGGCAAAACGTACCTGTCCCTGCATATACAAAGTAGTTGCTTATTAACAACCGTATTAAATGTTTGATGATAAGTAAAATTTTAATCATTTCATCTTAGCATGTTCATTTGTTACTTAAAATAGGCATTTGATTCTTTTAGCTATTTAAACAATTTTTTTTTTAAAGAAACAGGGTCTTGCTATGTTGCCCACGCTGAAGTGTAGTGGCTATTCACGGGCGTGATCATCACGCACTGCCACCTTATGCCCAGAGCTCAAGCCATTCCTTAGCCTCCCAGGTGGCTAGAACTATAGTTCATGACCATGCCTAGCTTGTTTAGCTACTTTTCAGAAAATTGATTGGGGCTATAGTTTGACATATAATGTTAAAATCATGGAGACAGGTAATGTTTTCATGCAGAACATTTGTTTTATCAAGGGCAGCTTACTGATGTTGAACAGGAGATCTTGTATAGTGATATTTCTAGTGACTTATTTTTTTCAAGACCAAGCAAGAGAATAATTTTTTCAGGATGTCTTATTAATTTTATCCCCCAAGGATAAGAGATTACAGTCATCATTTAGACGCATGTCTTACAGCAAACACATTCTAAAGTAAAAATATTGCACAACTGAGGAGAAGCTTGTAAAGTTATCCACTAAGTTAAGGACCTATGAATGCTTGGAGAGAGAAAAATGGAATAAACTATTGGCAAAATTCCATTATCATAACACTGATGAGTGTCACATGATGTCAATGACAAAAGTGCCGAAGAGTAATTACTATAATGTGCCATGTGCCATGCACCTGACTGCTCAGCCACGACCCCTTTATTCAGAGAACAGCTGATGGTTTACAATACAGCTCCTGATCTGGATGTCTTAATGTAGACAGAAATAGTAAACATTGTGAACCTCATCAAAACAGTCATTGAGTATATGTGTAAATATGTGTAACTGTTGGGCGTGTTGTAAAAAGAAAGGATCACTGAGAAATAAGACCCTTCTCTCGTCCCCCAACATACGCCAACTGTTTCAGTTACTACTGCCATGTAACAAATCATCCCAAATGTAATGGCATAAACCAACAAGCTTCTTATGATCTTCACAGGTTCTGTGAATATGAATTCAGAAAGACAACAGCAGAAAAGGCTTGCTCTGCTCCACAGTCTTCGGAGCCTCTGCTGGGAACAGGCAAAAGCTGGGGACGACTTGATGGGTGGGCCGTAATCACTGGAAAGCTTGCTCACTCCCATGTCTGGAAGCCAATGCTAGGGCTGCATGGGTTGCTGAGGCTTCCTCACAGCAGGATGCTGGGTTGTAAGAGTAAGCATATGGAGAAAGGCAAGCAGCAGCTGTATTGCCCCTTTGCTATTTTGGGGTTTTTTATTTCTATTTTTTGAGACAGCATCTCATTCTGTTGCCCAGGCTGGAATTCAGTGGCGAGGTCATGGCTCATTGCAGCCTTGACCTTCCAGGCTCAAAGGATCCTCCCACCTCAGCCTCCCAGGTAGCTGGGACTACAGGCATACGCCACCATGCCCGGCTAATTTTTTTGTACTTTGTGTAGAGATGGGGTTTCACCATGTTGCGCAGGCTGGTCTTGAACTCCTGGGCTCAAGCAATCTGCCCACCTTGGCCTCCCAAAGTGCTGAGATTTGTATTGCCTCCTATAACAGCCTCCTATGGTAAGATATCTGCCAGAGTCACAAGCCCTCCCAGGTGTTAGAGGGTTCATGGCCCCCTCTCTCAGCTGGGGGAGTGCCAAAGCCACACCATGAGAGCAACATGGATGGCAGACATCGCTGTGGCCAGCTTTGGGAATTACAGTCCACCATGCTGACTGTCAAGGAAATGGGCCTGCTCATGAGTTTTCAAAATGAGGAATGGGGTGCAACCATTTACTCATGACAATATCCGGAAGGATTATCTTTTTTTTTTTTTTGAGATGGGGTTTCCCTCTTTTTGCCCAGGCTGGAGTACAGTGGCCCGATCTCAGCTCACTGCAAGCTCCGCCTCCCGGGTTCACGCCATTCTCCTGCCTCAGCCTCCCGAGTAGCTGGGACTACAGGCGCCCGCCACCTCGCCCGGCTAGTTTTTTGTATTTTTAAAGTAGAGACGGGGTTTCACCATGTCAGCCAGGATGGTCTCGATCTCCTGACCTCGTGATCCGCCCGTCTCGGCCTCCCAAAGTGCTGGGATTACAGGCTTGAGCCACCGCGCCCGGTCCGGAAGGATTATCTTGTGGCTTTCACAACATTTACTCAAGTATATCTTGGCAACAGTCAGCCTGAATTATCACTTCAGGTCAAAATATTGCACTGTATTAGGCTGCAATGATCATGTCTCTCATTTCAAACCTGTAATTATAGAAAATTTTAAATACACAAAAGTA